AATCGGAAGCAATTTTTTGCTCATCGTTTGTTAGCTATACTGATCGATAAAAGGTATTACTAATGACGCAGATCGCGAATAAAACACCGCTGGCCTCAGATCGTGCCATATTAAACTGAGGGTTACCTGCTTCTGCCATCACCCAATACTTCTTCACGCGTGACTTTAACCAGTCAAAGTCCATTAATTCGTCTCCTTGTGGTTCCTCCACCGGAATTTTTGTTTGCAATTCGTTGTACTTATGTTCCAAATATCTTTTACTTGTAAATACCGTTAAAGCTGAAGAACTCAATACAATGAATGCATAAACATTCATAAGGGCAATCACCATATTCACCCCTTGGAAATCATCTTCAATCACGCCTGTGAATTTTTGGATGATAACATTTACGGTAAGCGTCACTATAAGGATACCCAATGCCGTCAAGTTCACTAATATTTCTCCGTCCCTCATGGATCCCAGAGAAGGCATGAAATGAGTGGTTGAAACACACAAGAAAGCAGTACTAGTAGTTTTAGCGGTTTGATCAAGAGTGCTTTTCATCGGGGTAGTTAGATCCATTGACAACTTCACTGCGACGGCTAACACAGTCAAGGAAGCAGCATTGAGAGCAGAATATCTGCAGGGGAACCATAATTTTCTATGGCGAATGGAGATCGCTGCATCAGCCAAAAGTGCAAGAGTCCATATTAGAGATGCTATAGCAGCGTATAGGCCTATCCAAAGCATCGGTGCAGTAGAAACCATCATTTTTGTTAAATTGTTCAGCTTAATTCCCACGACTGCTTTACTTTGGATTTAAGATGAGGATGCTCAAGTGGTGGAGATTTCTTTGTTATTTTAATGCAACTTCAGCTAAAAGACAATATAGTTTGGGGCTGACTTTTCTTGTTATCAATATTTGTTTTACATTCTAGATTAATAATTCTTGTAACGTGAAATAATTGAGTTCGTGAGTTAAAGTCATGAGAATATAAATTATGAGACTTAATTTCTTATTAAATCTCGACCAGCCACACGGTATTGCAAATTTTGAGACTTAATTATTACAATGGAGTTTTGGATCGTTGACACACGTATTCAACTTTCTTCCGATGACTGTACTACTTTGGATTTAAGATGGGGATGCTCAAGTAGTGGAAATTTCTTTGTTATTTCAATGCAACTTCAGCTTGTATTTTCAACGCTTCGATGCATCCATTAAAGAATTATATCCAATAATAAAACCTGGCAATGAGTCATCATTCACATCATATTAGTAAATTATTCCTAATCTTGCTACAATTTGGAATCTCAAACTGATTTGTGACAACTTCATATTAATAAATCAATGGCTGAGCCTTGAATTATGAAATTAAATAAGAAAATGTTATCATTCCCGTAATTTTACATTAACCACCGAAAGTCACCCAGAGAACCCCAATCGAAAAAGGTTTACAAATAATATTGCACCATTTACTAATATAGAAAAGCAATTTAAAATCCACAAAAATATGATAATTAATAAATATATTTATGTATGTGTGTATCAATGTTGAATGACAAAGTTACCCATACCTGATCCCATTGATCTTCCTTTCAAATCCATTTGCACTGCAAACTGAATCAACAAATCCATTTGCCGAATTGATTCTTCCACCTGACATATCTTCTTTATGCTCTAACACTTTGAACAATTTAATATTTTAATACTAATGTAGGGAATTGAGACCAAGTCCCATTATTTTGAGGTACAAGAAACCACCAGTACCTCGAAATATAAGATGTCAGCAAAGATGCTCTTGCCACCAGCCTCTTCACAATATGGCATGACAATTTAGCTTTTACAACTTGTGACCGGAAACTTTTTAGATAGAATAGCTATTCCATTTCCACTACTCTTGTTCACGAATCATTTTTTAGTGGTCAATAAGCTCATAAAAGTATTCTCAATTTCGAGGATACTAAAAGATCCGGAACAAAGTGAGTTCTAGAATAGGCTTCATTAACTTCAACTAAACAATAGGGCCTTCTTTCCGGCCCCTGTTTAATCCTCTGTTTAATGGAGATTAAAATCAGATTTTTAATAAATTTTGATAAAAGTTAATGAAATGTGTAATTGAAAAGTTGTGAATTTAATGAAATATGTGGTTAAAATTAATTGTTGATTTTAATTTAGATTAAAATCTAGATTTTTAATCCTTACCAAATAGGGGCACGGTATGGTTTTCTCAATTCCTTTTACTTCAAAAAGAATTCAAGTTTCCACCTGTTTTTATTTCCACCAAGTATAAATCACGCCAATTTCTTATTTATATGCTCATAATTATATTAGGGCAATGCATAATTGAGATGTAAATGACCGTAGAAATCATAAAATTAGAAAGTGAAAAGGTGAAGCAAATATGAAATCCTAGATTAGAAGATGAAGGATTAAAAGAGGTATTTTATTGACATTTATTTTAAAAAACTTTTGCTGAGGAAATTGAATTTCTTAATAAAGTTAATGTTATTGACAAATTTGAGTTGCGAAGAATGACGACAATTTCAAATGTCTTTTGATGTATAACGATCCATACCATAAATGAAGAAAATCTTTTTATTTGCCACAACGTTTGAAAAGAGGAAATGTAAGGTATGGTTAAAAAATATGTCTGAATTAGGTTAAGTCGTCAGATGTTTCAATCGAAATGAAAACATTGATTATGATAAATAATTTTCTCGAACATCTGGAAGACTCTTTTATTTTGATTTAAAATTGTATCAAATGGGCGTAATAACACCCTTTTTCATCAATCCTATAAGAGTGAAATGTGAATGTCGTAACTGTTTTTTTCTTTTCAACCAATTATAAATTAGAAATGTTTACAATATTAAATCTAATTATTGAATTACTTTAGAATATAAAAAATGAAAATTGATTTAGAAATAGTTATAATTTATTGCTAATTTTACTATTAAAAACACTAACATATTGATTTTCTAGTTTCTATATATAATGAAACAAAATATTGAATATTTATTATAATTATATTTTCAAATTCTTTTTAAGTGAAAAGATAGTATTGGATTGATAGAGTACATAATTTCAAACGTTATAGCAAATTATACAAATAATAAATTATTTTTATGATTGAGAATAGTTAAATTAATTAGTATACAATATTAAATCTCATAATGTCCAAATATATAAAACTATTTTGATAAAACTTGATTGGAAAATAAAATTCCATGCTATTAAGTCCCTTTTTATTATGTTTTTATATCTTATTTCTTTCTCTCTGTGTAATAGACTAACTCATGATTTATTGTCAAAATGATTAACTTAATTATTTTTGCTTGCTTCTTTTGAAAAAAGAATGTGAGGAAAGACTAGGCATCCCTAACGTCTAAACATCTTATACAATTTAAGTGTTTATAACAGTCTCTCCCATTAAAATCAATAGTATCACCATTATGAGATTATATATTCCCAATTAATGTGGTAATTGAAAATATCTCTCGATATTTATCAAATATATTCCCCTCATGTAACATTTATATTTCTCAATGAAATATGCGAACATGATAAGTGCATTAAACGATTTAGAACGACTACGAAAAACATATTATCTCTCTCGATAATAAGATATATCTTTATTTCCTATTGGACTTTATAATGTTTATTATTTTAACTAAAAACATATTATCTCTCTCGATAATAAGATATTACAATAAATCATCTCAATTAGTAGCTAATTAATTGAAAATTCGATGAAAGCAATAATAAACATCCAAGAAAATTAACATACTAGTTCTCAAAATAATTAATTAATATAAAAAATTTCAAAATAAGGGTTGATCTATATCTTAGCAATGTAAAAATATTGCCTAGTATAATGTCGAAATTAAACACACAAAAATGGAACGACACCATAAAAAATTGACGAAACGCAGCGTGATTCTTTTCTCTCTGCGTGCCTCGGTTTCCTGTGTGTATATATAATTAATTCAACGAACCTTTCCTTTGCGTTTTGTTTCAGCCGCCACTTGTATTATATTGTAAAAGAAATTCAATTTCCAGTTTAAGATAAATGTCTATAAAATTTAATAGCCAGTTTAAGACAAATTTTAGTTGAGGAAATAAAGTCAACCTTCAGATTTCATCAACAAAGCTCGTTGAAACTGGAAGCTTTCCATATTAATTCTGTTCATGAAAGTAAACTGGCCACTAGCCGTTAAAACCTAATATAATAATATAGAGATTAGAGCCTCTTAAATCTGAACATTTGAAACATATCGCTAACTTTTCTAAAACCCAACATTTTGTAAGCGTTGAGCGTAACATAAAGTTTTCAAAAGCCAGTTTAATTTGGGGTTGACTTTGCTAGTTATTAATACATGGGTAATTATATTTGTTACGGGTCTTCTGAAGCCCTCCACCTCGTTCACCCATCTCATCGATCACGCGTTGTCTGAACCAATCGGCATTAGTGTGTGGCAGACGAGGTGAATATGTGGCGGATGAACTGATTCCATATCTCCGAACTGAAACTGACAGACTGATTCCATATGTCCGAACTGAAACACTGTTGCTCCTCCCTATAGAAGAATCGAACTCATCCGCCATTCACAACGGATACAAAAGTCCGCACTCCGTGCTTTGCGCTTCGCAATCCTCCTCGCCGCGCACTTGCCAAGATCTTTTAGGAGATCTCTAAAGTCAAGTCCTTGACTGATTGATAGGACGTGTGGCAGGTCACAAACGGTCAATTCAAGCGTCATGTTAGAAACCATTTAATGTTCGCCAACCTATGGATTGACGCCTATGAGATGATGACTCATACGAGATCTGAAGACACGTGCCCCTTCATCCAACGGTCCACCTCTTCCATTTACTAGTATAAATACCCCCGTACTGGCAAGAGTAAGGGATTCAGAATTTTTGTGAGCTTTTCATCATAACTCTCAACATATATTTAACTTCCCATTTAGTCGAAACATTGACTTGACCATCGAGTGCTCGCGGCCGCCTCCAACGCCAACGAAAAAGGCCATGAGTGACTAACAATGTGCTATCAGGAAATGATTAACCATCGGAACAGGGCAGCTCAAGGACTTCCTCCACCCCAAAGACAGATCGACAGAGGGCCTACATCCCAAATAGTAAGTTAGCAATGGACTCAGGCCGGACACGTCGTGGCTTCCACTTCGGGACAGGGGTTGGCCACCGCTCGTTGAATGTCGTACCAACGTTGGCCTATGAAAATGTTGGACCTAGTATCAGCAATCCTACTAGGGGTACCGGATGACCCTCGACCTCTAGAAATAGAGGAAGAGGCTGCATGCCTAAAGATAGGCCTCAGGAGGAAACACGACCATACTACACTTTTCACCGCTTCCATGGCCATGATACAACTAAATGCAGGAAAGCCAGCATACCTAGAAGCAGCTCCCGTAACATGAGGGAGAACCGTCACCAAGATAATGCGCCAAGATAAAGCCCTCCAAGGAGGGGATAAACGAGGCGTCACTAGCCCCGAAATGATAGAAATAGTGATAGGGAGAGTCTTCGGAGCAGACAACGTCCTAGGAAGGACCTTGCTGCCTCGAATGAGCACCAATCCATCCTCGAGATTGACACGATCATTGGGAGGGCCCACGTGGGAGGAGAATCTAGGAATGCTCAAAGAAATTACAATAGGGAAGCAAAGGTTCCACCCATGGCCAGCTACATAGTGAACCAATCCCAGGTAAGAAGGACCGCAGATCCCATCACCTTTACTCAGGAA